TCTCTCGAACTCTTCGTTATTGAAGTGATGACGTCTCTTTCGCTCCCCGCATCTTCCTCGATCTCGTTTTCCTTCTTTGGAAATCGCAATTATCCTTTCTCCGTTATTATTCATATCAATTATCGCTACTTAAGGGGGCTTTAAAATTGTACAAAGAAAAAAATACGAAAGCAAATTAAAACAAACAAACAAATAACGGGAGGCGGGGCAAAGGGAAAGTTTTACGACGATTAGCGTAATTTGCGTATAATCTATAAACGTTCGAATGGGGAAAACGAAAACAAATTATGAAGGAACGTAGATAAATGCGGTAGCAATTAACCTACTTATTATTTTTTTTTTGTTGGTTTCGATCGAAATCCTTATAAACTGTACGCTTTCGTGGAAGTAATTAAGAAAGAACGATTTTATACAAATTTAAACTCGATGCATTACAAATATGACACATGTCAATAACAATTTAAAGATAGATGGCGTTCCACTTGGTGTCATTATTTTTCTCTTCTCTACGCGTTTATGCAAAAGATAACCAAACATCGGAAAAATGATGTTTGCTTTTGCTTGTTAGTGCAAACGTGCACTTTGATTTTATCGTTTGTTGTTTTTTCGCTCGAATCTCGGAATCCTGCCCTGCGTTTGAGAGTGGCGCGGCGCCTGTTGCTCTTCATGGTAACCATGGTAATGTTATCCGGTTTCCTGAAACGAGCGTGCATCACGTGCTCCTCTATTATTTTTTTGTTTTACGTAATCGTAACCAGATAACATTATATAACTTAATCGAACGTGCTGTTTTAGTTTTGTTTCGGTTTCCAAAAGCTGAAACCGATTGTTTCAATTATTCGATGTTTCCAAATAATCAACTTTTTTATTTCTGCTCCACTTCCTCCAAAGAATGCGTTTGTTATGTACGTATGAACGAACGGTGTTTTTTTTCGGATTTCGAGCAGAGGCCACACTGCATAGCAAATCGTGCGTTACTTGCGTGTACACATTGAATGTATAGATGTGTGTGTGCCTCGCGTTAATCCGTTCTAATAATACAGCGCCAACGTGCAAATTTAAAATTCCGCGAAATCGGCGACGCGAGCGGATTCTTCGGCGAATCGCGAGCGCGTCAATAAAATCGGCTGATGTAAGTCGCGCGCGCGCGCACCGAAAATAATCGCAACCCGAAAACAGGAATCTTCGTGAAGACAGTTTTGATGCACGTTATCTATATATTGAATTGCGTAAACAAATGATTTATGTATGTAGTTTGAATGTAAGGAAAGGTTTTTTTGTATTTAATTGACTTGAGAATTATTTAGCAATCGATAAGTTTCCATGGAAATGGATGAAAATTGAAAGAAAGTTGCAAGATGGCGATTCCAATATTAGTTTTCGAACTGTCATTTTGACATTTCTTTGACATTTGCTTGCATCTTTCAAATTTATTGAGTATTAAACGTTGATGTAGAAACTGAAATTCAATGGAATCGCAATGCCGAACGAATCGAAGGAAATAAGTGGAAGAGCGAATGCGGGAGGTTATTAATATCGGGTGAGTTTATGCAAAATGAAAAAAAAAAAGTCTTCGAAAAAGAAAAGTTGAGAATTGCATCGGCTTTGAGGTCTACTAGACTCCCCCCCTTGCGCCCCTCTCGTATCGCACATAAATCGCCTCCCGTACCGAGAATCGTCGGCCTTAATACGTTCTTAAAACCGCATAAATAATAAATGCAAGCCGTCCGTTCTCCTCCAGTATTTTATAAGCAGCATAAACTCGGAACACAACACAAAGATACGAAATGGGTATGAAGATATATGAGTTTGTGTGTGTGTAGAGAGAGAGAGAGAGAGAGAAGATAAATTGCGAGTGGTCTTTTAAATAAAGAGCGCGGATAAATTAGTTGGATGAGTGGTAGAATGAGGAGGATGACAGTTGGAGGAAGGAGTGTATAAAAAGAGGAACGTCGGATGCAAATTATCGGGGGGATGTAGAGTGCTCGGCCGGTTTTCGAGGATATAAAGATACGCAAAGAGTCAAGAGCTCTCTGCAATGCACGTATATGCATGTAAGTGCAAAAAAGAGAACGAGTTGTAAAGAGAGAAATCGAGAGGTTTTCCAGAATCGATTCTCCTGTTGCTCAAATGAATGTGTGTGAGAGAAAGAGAGGTAGGAGAGATCGAAAAGGACGACGAGAGAAGTTCGCCGAAGGAATTTAATAATCTCGCATCGCTCTAATGCGGCGAAATCGCGGAATCCGCTTAATAAATTAATTCTCGAAATGCTATAAATAGGCACAAAAANGAGACCTTTAATTTCCCTCGGGAAATTCAATTTTCTTTCGCGTCGTCACGACATATCATCCTCCCTTGACTAAGAGGTCAACTTAGGGAAAAGCACACGACTTCAAAATTCAATTGCAAAAAAAAATGATTATAAAAACACATTAAGTAATAAAGTGTGTTTGTTTTATAATACTTTATGCTAAAAGTTAATCAAATAACTTTCAAGTTAACAAGCAATTCAAGTTAATCTGGGAATGGTGTCGAAAGACAACCCATACTTATCCTATTGGTTTAAATCCGATCATAGAAAAAAGTTGTGTTCATGCACGAGATTGGCCTATCAGATGGGAACGCAAAAAAAAAAAAACAATCAAGTTGCTGCGAATTTTATTCGTCGATTTATCAAAATGGCTGATGACCAAAACGCCATTTTACTTTTTCAAACTGTCAATTTGACATTTCTTTTTAAGTTTGGTTATTACATTGACGTTAATGGAAATCAGAGTTTTTAATCTCGAAACGAGAAAACAGAACATCGCATGTTTATCTGTTATTGGTTTGAATGCAATCATAAAAAAAAGTTATGTTCACATGGCCTATCAAAAGAGAACGCAAAAAACATAGAAGGTGGCGTGAATTTAATTCGTCGGTTTATCAAAATGGCGCGCGCACAAATCGGCGCCATTTTAGTTTACAAACTGTCATTTTTGACATTTCTCTTTTGAATTTGGTTAAATTGTAATAACACCAGTTTGATTATGTCACATTTGCATAATACTAATTAGTTAAATGCAAACGATAAAACTGCAATCAATTTCCAAATTGAATCGCATTGGCTGGAACAACACGATTCCAATTTAAAATGTTCAAACTGTCATTCTGACATTAGCTTACAAACGCCAACTGCGATCAATTTCTAGATTGTTTTTCTTTTTGTCTTGATGAAACGATTCAATCAAAACTTGTTTACTTAATCTCTTGGAATCGTGAACCGAAGACGACTCAATTTGAATAATGCGCTTTTAAGTTGAAGTGCGTTTCTTCCGGGAATCCAAAAGCAGGCAAGCAAAGCAAAGCACTCCACTCTGTGCGCACTTTATTGTGCGGGCATTCTGAAATTTGTGTGTGTTGCTGTGTGTGTGTGTGCGCGAGTTATTTTTGCGGCATTTAAAAAATTCCGGTCGCGTCCTCGACCATTTCGCAATTAAGGCGAACGCAGCCATATGAATTATTCGTTTTCCTCGTAGCGAAACAATAACGGGCGTTCAATCAAATTTCTTTGAAATTTCCGTTGCACGCCTTCTCTGCACTAACTCTCTCTCTTTCTCTCCTCTCTTTAACGTTTTCTCTCTCTTAACACCAAGTTTTCTCGTTACTCCCTCTTTTATGTGTATCGATATCTTCGCCTACGTGTTTAAAAGCGTCCCTTTTCACAATTTTTTGATTTATTTTATTTTGGAGGGTTTACCAACCTTTTTTTT